CAACTAGCTCATTGATATCGTAGATGTCAAACAGATGCCAATAATGTTGACAAGAGAGCCCAAGAGTCACAGTGTGTCCTACAAACTTCAGACAAAACAACAAACTGCATATAATAAAGGTCAAACTATCATTTCGAAAACCATATCTTTGTAATTTCCTATAATAATAAGCATGATTGTCAGGGTTTTGACGTTCTTGAACTTTTCAGTGAGGCAAATGCGCTGTTGAAGCAAGAGCGTTCAATGAAGTTTACCCCTATTTGAGAACCTGCATACAACAGCAAAATTCAAGAATTTTATGAAACTTAGCTTGATCTTTCTGAGGAGTTAGGATTTTTAACTTTGCACCTCTAAAGAGATCCTCCAACTAATGGTTTCATGTTCGTGAAGGGTTCATGCTAGAAATGAACATTCACATGAAAATAAGCTCTTCTCGCTAAATTGTTTCCCCGAGCCCCGACCACACACACGTGATATATTTCTCCACATTCGCTACATCATTGTTAATCCATGTCAACTTGAATGTTTTGGCCAGAACAACTACACAATCTAATTGATAATTGCTTCCTCGAGAGATTTTAGGGAGTACTTGTACCTTCTCTTGAGGACTCGAAATTTCAATCTCAAATTTTCAACTTTTCTTTCGCTCTCTCACCAACCTGAACCTCATCTCTTTCCAACCAAAGTTCTTGAAACTTGGGCGGGAAGGTACTGTCGGGCATTCGAGCTTGGCCAGAAAGTTGGCATTTACCCCTCGAAGGACTTGCTCGTTGGCACACAACTCGACACTGTACTCACGCAGCAGAAAATTGAGCTGGGGATAAAAGAAAAACGTCCACAATGACGGACCCCGTCGAGTCAACGTAAGTAAGAATTATTAGATTTGACCATGCCGCGGGAAGCGTTACCCCCTCTTTCTAGGTCTCGAATGATTTGGGGCGTTATTGTGAACAGTGGCAACCTGCTAATACTCATATTATTAGTCACAAACGGAGTAAATCGTCTGCTTTATCCCTTCTGCGCAGCAGGAGAGAGGGGAAGGACGACGATAATGTAGATTATCAACCCCCCATGTCTCCCGCGACCACGGCACACTCACCCACGCTTCCAGCTGCACCATTTCAGCCCACTCTCGGACATGCTTCGAAGAAGTCGACCAGCGCGACAGGACTCATGAGATCAGCTTCTAATGTCCATCCGCGGACTACGGCTACTTTGTCACCCGATAAGACAATGTCCATTGAGCAGACTGTTCGAAAGTTCAAGATATTTGAGGCATTAAAGAACGGGGATACAGCAGCTATATCAAAGGCAATCCGTGAGTCTGACGGTAGTCGAATGAGCATCTCTAGCTTCGCAACCGTTTCAACCAATTTGGAAGATACCACCATCCTGCACTTAGCTATCCAATGTGCTGAACAACAAGTAATCGAGTATGTGTTATCTGATGGAGCGGGAACAATCGATGTCAATGCAAAGGATCGTGATGGGAACACGGCTCTTCACCTTGCTGCAAGCTTAGGTCGTAGCCCTATTGTACGCTTGCTTCTTGGGCAGCCCGGTATCAACGATTCTTTACCAAATTATGCTGGTCGCCTACCTCTCGACCTTGCTCGAACACCCGATATTTTCCAGCAACTACAACTCTCTCGTTCAATGTTTGTGGATGGTAAAATAAAGCAAATACATGAACTGGTTGCGCACGGAGACTATAAGACATTGGGCGAAATCTTGGAGGAACCTCGAGTCAAAACAGTCTTGGATATCAATGGTGGAGAATTCACGTCTGACCCAATCACGGTACAAGCTGGTGGCACTTTACTGCATGAGGCTTCCAGAAAAAAGAACATTGAGCTCATACAAGTGTTGCTGTTACATGGTGCTGATCCGTTCCGTCGCGACCGAAAAGGAAAATTACCTCAAGATTACACAAAAGATGATGCAACCAAAGCTATGTTAAGGAAGTCCCCTGCTGCAGTTGCCGCTCAACGGGGAATTCAAGAGAAAGCTGTTCTCGGGAATGTATCTCAACAAGGAGCAGTCAACGCCAACCCGTCAGATGCACTTGCTGGAAAGGAGGGTCGAGAAATGCAAGGCTATCTAAAGAAGTGGACAAATTATCGAAAAGGTTATCAATTACGTTGGTTCACCTTGGAAGATGGCATCCTAAGTTATTCCAAGCACCAAGACGATGCTGGGTCTGCTTGTCGAGGTGCGATTAATATGCGCATCGCAAAACTCAACATGGATCCTACAGAGAAGACCAAGTTTGAAATCATTGGAAAATCATCCGTTAAATATCACCTTAAAGCGAACCATGAAGTTGAGGCTAAAAGGTGGTTTTGGGCGCTGAATAATTCTATACAATGGACTAAAGATCAGGCCAAGGAAGAGGAAAGACAAGAGGCCAAGAGGTTAGAACTGTTACAGCAAGCGAAAGAGCAATCTGGTAGTGGATCCAAGGAAACCTTTGACAGCAATGGTCTCAGCGAGCCATCTCTTGTCTATACGGACTCGCGCCGTGAGAGCATTCAAGGTAGCAGGCTTCTGCCACAGACTAGCCTTAGCAGGATTACAAGCCCACGAGTCGCATTTACCAGCATTGCTGGTAGTGTTGGCGATGAAGAAGAAACTAATTATGGATCATACAACCCAAGCTTCATCGGCGACGGAAGTAGAATACCAAGTCACATTGGAACCGGACCTTTGGATGGGGATGATGATGATGAATACGGAGATGGCTCTAGTGAGCACGAGATGCCGGCAAGTAAGGATGCGTTTGAAATCACGGCTCAATCTGCTCGACTGCAACTCGAACTCATGGGCCAAGTCAATGCAGCTTTACAAGTAGAGCAATCCAGAAATCCAAATCTCGTCATCTCTGACCCAGTTGCGAACCAAGCAACCGCGACATATGATTCGGCCATTCGTAATCTCAAGGGTCTTGTTGGCGATCTTTTGAAAATATCCAAAGATAGGGATGCATATTGGCAACAACGTCTTGATCGGGAAGAGCATATGCGAAGGATGTGGGAAGAAAGTATGGCTCAAGTAGCTCGTGAACAGGATGAATTAATGGCTCGTATGGGCGAATCGGAGGAGAAGAGAAAGATGACAAAACGAGCACTTCGTGAAGTCACTCGATCAGCATCCCGACCAGCTAGTAGAGGTGAACTAGCAGCAAGAGCCGAGATAGATGAGGCTCTTGATGACGTTTCTCTCAATGATGACGGGACCGCTCCTTTAAGACATGTACCGACTAGCAAAAGCTCATTACGACAGAAATCAATGGTTGAAGGTATCCCTGATATGTCTGATTCAGACTCAGACGAAGATGATGAATTCTTCGACGCTGTTGATGCCGGCCAAGTCGAAGTAGTCAAAGCTCTACCGCTTTCGAGCCCTGCCCCAGGTGCAAGTGAAGAGGCAGAGGAGGGTGAACTTGTAAAAGCTGAGGGGCTAGACATCAGTTCTGCTTTCAAGGGATACGAAAATGGCGTAAGAACTCGACTAAAGATGGATGCTGATGATCGTCCAAAGATTTCTCTATGGGTATGTATTTGAGCTCGTTTTATTCCGACATCACTAACACTTTTCAAGGGTATTCTTAAATCTATGATTGGCAAGGACATGACTAAAATGACACTTCCTGTGTCTTTCAACGAACCGACGTCATTACTGTATCGATGTGGTGAAGATATGGAATATGCAGATCTTTTAGATATTGCAGCAGATCGAGCAGACTCAATCGAGCGCATGGTATATGTTGCAGCTTTCGCCTCAAGTGAGTATGCATCAACCATTGACAGAGTTGCAAAACCTTTCAATCCCCTTCTTGGAGAAACTTTCGAATATGTTCGTCCTGATAAGAATTATCGCTTCTTCATCGAGCAAGTCAGTCATCATCCACCAGTTGGTGCTGCGTGGGCTGAATCTCCTAAATGGACCTATTATGGAGAATCAGCTGTGAAGTCTAAATTTTATGGAAAGTCTTTTGATATCAACCCTCTCGGTACTTGGTTCCTCAAACTTCGTCCCACATCTGGAGGACCAGAAGAGTTGTATACCTGGAAAAAAGTCACATCTTCCGTCGTTGGAATCATCACTGGTAACCCTGTGGTCGACAATTATGGGCCAATGGAAATCAAGAACTGGACAACAGGTGAAGTTTGCAACGTCGAATTCAAGGCTCGAGGTTGGAAGGCTTCTAGTGCTTATCATATCACTGGTAGAGTCAATGATGCAAACGGACAAACTCGTTTCAGTCTTGGTGGTCGCTGGAACAGTAAAATTTATGCTCGTTTCACGCCTGGTTATGAGGCAACTGTTGAAGAGCCTAAGTCCGGTTCTTCTCACCGCAGAGGCAGTGTCAATGATCCAAGCCAAGCATTTTTGGTCTGGGAAGCTAATCCACGCCCAGCTGGTATCCCCTTCAATCTGACTCCTTTCGTTCTTACATTCAATGACATCAATGACAACCTTCGCCCTTGGTTGCCACCAACGGATTCTCGATTGAGACCTGATCAGCGTGCCATGGAAGATGGCGAGTACGATCTAGCTGCTACTGAGAAGAATCGCCTTGAAGAGAAGCAACGTGCTAGACGACGTGAACGTGAACAGCTTGGTGAAGCTTTCGTTCCTCAATGGTTTGAGAAATCAAAATGTCCAATCACTGGAGAGGAATACTGGGCTTTCAACGATAAATATTGGATCGAACGAGAGAAGGCTGCTACTGGAGAAGCATGGACAGGTGTTGAAGATATTTTTAATGATGTAAAGGAAGAGGAGTGATCATGTTTAGATGAAGAGATAGGGAAGGGTGTAGGATATCTGAATGTAAAGCATAAATCTTCTTTCATAGCTTTTGCTTTTGGCGATGAGCTGGGCGGTTTACCATGAGATGCAACGATACACAAGAGAACACGTACATAAATACCTAGTAGTTAGCGGGCTTTCAGCCAGTTAGTTAGTCATACATAATACATATCATTCAAATCAGGTCAAGAAGTCTTGGCACGTGTGAATATGATGGAAGAGCGGAGGAATAATTTGATTTGAGCCTGCAGCTCGCGATATTCCACCTAGGATATATTGTTAGCTTTCTATTTTCTGGATTGATCTGGGAGATTGATATGCACTTACCAAACAAGTCCAGATATTGCGCCCTCCGGCAGCTTTAGGAAGAGCCTGAATTTCAACACGTTAGCTTGAGTTCTCGAAAGGGCAGCTTTGATTATCTGTCTAGATCAGGATAGTCGAAGGGAATTGTACTTACCTGAAGGCAAAGGAGCGGCGAAAAGCACGACAGCAGAGGAAATAAGCTAAATCGGAGGTCAGCGTTGCTCAGTATATCCTTCCCATTGTTCAAGTAGATCGGGGTTATCAAAGGGCGTTGTACTGACCAGGCGGCCACGGAGTGGCGCAAAGTCTAACGACGGCTTGAGAAACCTAAATGGGAGGTTAGCTTTGAGATCAAAGTCCGCGGTCTATTGTTTGATCGAACCAGCTACTGAGGGATATCGTACTAACCAAAAGGAACGGCAGAACGGAGGCAGCAGCGGCAGTCTAAACTACTTATATTAGTAGCTAGACTTTATCTTTCTATGCCTGTTGATTGTTCGAACGGATTGAGGTGGATTGAGGGTATCAAACTAACCCAAGGAAAACAGAGTGGAGCAGGGCGGCACCAGAGATCTAAACTCTATAGATTGGAGATTAACGCTGCTCTGTACACCTGGTCCATTGTTCAAATCGATTAGGGATATTGGGGTCTAGCGTACTTACTCGAAGACCGCAGAGCGCCGGAGAAGACGGCGGCAGCTTAAACGCGCTATATTGAGAATCAGTTTTGAGCGCTGTATATCTGTTGATTATCGAGGCAGAGGTGGTAGTTTGATACGTACTTGGCGAGGGATGGAATAGCTCATATACCGTTTGGTATAATCCCCGTTGGGGTCGTCTTCGTCGTCGTCTTCGTCGTCTCGGCGGCGTTTCTTGATTGCTGGACAATCGTTTAGTCTTATTGTTCCATATTATATCACACATTTAACGGAGGTTGTAGTTTGACGACTTACTCGGCTCGTTGTCTGGGAGAGAGAAAGGCAATTCCTCCTCCTCCTCCTCCTCCTCCTCCTCGGTGGGATCCGAGGCTCCTGCGGTGCCGTAAATCGGACAGCCCTCTTTCCAAAGAAAGTTATTGCCCTTGGCCCGAAAGCCCATATTTCTTGCCGCAACTCGCCAATCATAGCCTAGGTCCCTCCTATATAACATGCGTTAGCGTTTGTCAATTTCTGATTGATTTTTTTGTTAAACTCGTACTCTTGTTGCTCCTTTTGGGAGCGCGCAGCCTGGAGCATGGTCTTTTTGACAGCAGGGTTGGCGTCCCGCCACTCATGGGTTTTCTCGAGGGCCTTCTGTGTACGGCAGAGGGCCTGGTTGAAATTTTCCCGCATGGTTCCGATAAACCACGGAATGCCTTTGGCTTCGCACTGTAACGTGCGATTGGATATGTTACGGGGCTCGCAAGTGGCGACGACTGTGGTGGCGGTGGTGGAGGTGGAGGTAGTGGAGGTGGTGCTGCTGCTGTTGGCGGCGGCGGCGGCGGCAAGGTGAGCGGAGACCTTTTTGCCCTTGGCAGGGGCTTTCACAACCTTCTTTGGTGGCATGGTAGCTTTGTGGTGATGGCGTCTTTCTTTGATTACTCGTTTGATGGTATTGATTGCAGAAAATATTTCTGCTGTTGATCTTCTTGACAAAGGAGAAAGGAAGAGAAGAGAAGGCACAAATTTGGACAAGATGTTACTTAGCTACATGTGGGCCAACAAGGCTGTATTTTCGTCTATCTAAAAAGCGACCATTGCTGGTGATAGAAAGATACTTGACTGTAAAGGCTCAAGATCAAGAAGTGAATACTTGAAAATCAAATTTCTTAGCCCTAAGAAATTTATTCCCATCTATTGTGCAATGTCAAGGCCGAATGAGTAATCTTTGACAATAACACACCTAGCATCAGTTCATTGTTTTTTCGTCTGTCTCATGCAATACTGGTGGATATCAGACGATTGAGACTGAGCATAGGATGGCTTTTATTCTCTGCCATTCATACACCTGTCGCACCTCACGAACAGGTGTACCTGAAAACAAAAACACAAGGTTTGACTACATCTACGATCACATATATTTACCATCAAATTCTTAGGTGCCTGAGCTCTATAACCTCGGATTCGAAAAGGGTGAGATAGAGGAGTTACGTTTTAAGAGGAAAAAGACGGTCCGAAGTTCGAAACTCGACGGTGAGCTGCTGCTATATAGTGCACCTGTGTTATTTACATCTCGGTCTATTCGCAAATGATGTGAAATTTCCTCTGGCTGCTGGAGGATCGATTGCAAGGACGAAAGCTGCGGCGCTACAGTATTTTATTCGAACGAGATCGAAGGATCAGAAGCGCGACACAGGGGACATGCACAATAACAACACGAGAACTAATCCTTTACCTACTAGAAAACTCTCAGAGCTCTAGAGGTCACAAATGAAGGCAAGACTGCAAAGAAGGAACAAAGAAGTTGGAGAGAAATCAGAGGGAAGGACCAACAGAATGTGCAATTTTACAGCGATGTTAAAGGCACATTTAGTAGGGCGATGTAGATCTTAGAAGAGGGTATCAAGAATTGCGATGTTAAACGACTCACGACTTTTACAACTCGAGTGGCACTGGAAGTAAGTCATCGATAATGGGTAAGTGGTGGTCTGGTGGCAGCATTGTTGGGGGAGGGCGCAGTTGTAATGAACTAGCGGCGGAGTGAAATAATGAAGAAAATTGGAGCATAAGATGGCATTGTTTAATATGTTGATGAGCACAGAAGTAAAGAAAGTGTGATTATGCATTACGAATATACGTCCATTGAAAGTTTGTGCTATGGTTATGAAATCTTTGTTGATAGGAGCTGAGTTGATGGGCGTCAAAGGCGCTATAATAGGACCTTATTCTTTTCTTCCGTTTTGCCAGTCAACATAATTATGAGATTGAAACTTTGAGCTTTTTCCTGCCGTTGAGTTCATCATTAACATAGTGTATACATTCTTTGAAGATGTCATAGCATACATAACCTAATTTCTTGCCCCAGATACAAGTAATACTACACTTCCCAATTGCCTCCTGATATCTTCCCTCTCAACATCATGTGTATCTTCAACAGCTCCCCACATCCCGGTCTGCCAATCTACCTCTAAGCTTGCAGCTTTGGCTGCCTCCTCTACTCCAAATTTCTTCTCGGCAGCTTCATCTCGTAAATGTGCCAACTCAGCACTCCATTCAACCACTAATCGCGCAGCTCCAAGTAAACTCTTTCCAGCCAACACACCTCTCTCCAATCCCGCAAGCTCGAATGGAGGTAATCCAGAAACCCATCCTCTTATTATATCCTTGGTCATTTGAGGTTGACTTTTAGGTACAATACTATCCGTATCTAAAACTGGAATAAGTTCTACCCCGGGCCATACCTTCTCGGATAAGAATTGGATGATAGGCTCCGCAGATTTCCTCTGAATGCTTCGCAAACTTTCCACTCTGTCAACATGTGTTTCATATCCTGGTGGATCTTCAGGTGCTTCAGGTGCCCAACACAAAAGTGAATCGGTATCGAGATATCGCATTACGGTTGTAACAATATGAGTCCTGATTAAGTCTCCCCCCTTGTTTTCTTCATCTATGATATCGAGAGCGCGATTCACGAGTGAAGTCATCGGTATAAGGTGAGTCTTCAAAGCTTGTTGTGCAGATACAAGGAGATCCCATTCAAGGGCGATGGCAGATGCCAAATGTGGTTTATGATGTGGTACTGTGAGGATATCTTTGGAAGGTCTTCGGAGAGCTCGTTTGTCAAGGAATATCTGTAAGCCCTCTGCATTCTCAACACTGATTAGTGGATTTGTTATTTAGAATGAAATAAGGAATTGACAAATGTTACCTTCCGTATCCTGTACATTAACATCCTTCCAGAACCTCTTGAGTTTCGCAGTTCCACCGCCTTTCCCATTAGCTACAGCTCTCATATCTTGACCCTTCTTGAGTAGCTCTGCTTGCTTCCTCTTCCTTGCGACCCGAATATCGACATGCTCAGCACTGGGAGTTGGCGCGGCTGGTGGCGGGCCAGATGCTGTGAATGCCGCAGGCGCAACTGTTGCGGGCGAAGGTGGTGTTGTGTGGATATATCGTTGGCTCAATGGAGCTAAACTTTGACCACGAGAGATTCGTAGGCCTTTCAAGCCATTCACCACTGGTAGTTGACTAATGCGCTTCATTTTTACAGAGTGCTCACGGAGAGTGAGTATTGCTTAGAAAATAAGTCGACATTGAGGTTGATGCGGCAATGCGGCCGCTCGCTACATTTTTGCCGCATCACGTGTCAATGAGTCCCAAGATCAATATCTTTCACTCTTGACATCTTTACATCAAAGATCAATCATTACCTCAATCGAGATTTAGATGATACTCAGCACTTAGGAGTATCACAATTGGAGCAGGCTGTCTGAATGTTAAGAGGAAAAGCGGACAGGTCGAGATTATATAATGGGTCTTGCGAGTTCTTCAATTGTTTTCCCCCTACAAATTGGGTCGTGGCTATCATTCACCCCTTCCTCAGACTTGATTAGTTTCGAGTCCATCTATGGCGTGGCTCTTGCCAAATCTCATAAACCTTTCGCTTTAATACCGGTCGAAATTGCTTAACGGGTAATCTATCATGGATACTCTTTGCCAGATGCAAGTGCCCTCTCATGATTGTGGCTTCGTGCTTGCGACAACTTCCCGCCATTGATTCTGATGCTCTCACTCTTACAATGACTTACACCCTCAAATTCTGTATCATATTTTGTTGCCCATCTACATATATAATGATGTTGATACTGAGCTATCAAAGTCTAGGTAATTCCGACTATGATGCGGAATAGGATTTAGACTCTCGACTATTGAACCTTAAAGCTCATCTTCTCGTGCCCTCCAGTATGGAAGGATTTTGTTGCAAGTCTGTTCCAGAGCACAGGGGTATCCCCATGCTCTTCCTTTACTACATATCAAATCCAGCTTGTTGACATATGTTGTTAACGGTTGCGAGCCTTATGCTACCTGAAGAATCAGAAATTATACATAACCTCTTGACTAATACCACAAATCAAATCATTTCTGGCTATAATCCACGAATCGTCTAATAACTCCTCCCTGCGTTTCCAAAGTGAAACAGAATTTCAAATATACTTTGAGGTTCGGTCATATTGGAACTATACTTTCCGTTAGGTGAACTGGATACTTTGCAGAAATTTTGCCGCAGGACTAGTTACCAAATTCTGTTGATTACTCCAATACAGCTTTTAACTCCCTGATCTTCCGATACCTAGGTACTTGGAGTCCATAGACCAGTAATAAAGATTTCATTGTTTGAATGAGATATGCTATTCCACGATATTTCACACTTTACTATTCCAGTTACCAGCTACTCCGAACCAATCCAATAGATATGGAGAGACTCTTCCGCTGCTGTTTAACTCTAGCCCTGATCCACAAGTCCTATAATTTATGATCAGTAATGATGCTTCCAGATTCTTCCCATTAAGAACAATAGTTGCTTCGATTGACGTTCCAAAGCACTTCCTTCTGGGCCTCTCCTTGAAAACTAGTTTGGTAGCCGCCATTGTACCTTCCAACTGAAATGGTCAAAGTCTTGCCTCGATCCCTTCCTCTTAATGATACTTTATATACCAGCTTATATCACATCCCTCCAGCAGTCAAAGTCTTATTCACACAACACACTCACTCAACAGATAATACAACAATAATCCACAGCAAATTCGCACACATTATAGCTAAACATCAGAATTACTCGGCAGAAATACACTGCAGCATTTGTTTACTAGTATCAAACTTGAAGAGGTATTCTCATCCTTTTGCCCTGAATATGTGCTTGGCTCACAACAAAAGGGTAGATATTGAGTCGATTATACTGGCAAGAATGCCTAGTCTCTTTGAAAGGGTTGGTCGTGGAGATGGTGTGTTACAAGGGACTGCAGTTCAAAATTCTCTTCTAATACACCATTTAGACTTTAGTGTTAACGATGTCAGCAATTCCGACCCACTCGATTTAGACAATCCCCGGGATGTCAAAGGCACTCAGATGGGATTTGCAGAGTTCATGACCAGCACTGTAATTCAACGACGGCAAAGCTGGATGAGAGCTGCAGAATTCGATCACCCCCCATTCCTCCAAAGAGTACCAGGCTGGAATACTCGAAACTACAATAAGATCGGGTTTGAGGCTATACACGTAAACAGTCCAGACTACATCCCTGGAAACAGAAATTTCATACCGACATATATTATTTTTCCTCATGACGCAGCGATACCTTCACGCGCAGATTTTTTCAAGATGACGGAAGTTGTGGTTAGGTTTATACCACCTGCCAGAGTTCCATCACGTTGTTCAGAATTAGCAAGCTTGACAGGAAGATGGTCCGAGACTAATAAAATCCTCATTTTTCGGCACGACCTGAATCCGTTAATGTATACTCATGGGCCTGATGTGCGACATTATAAGGATGGGGAGCCTGCGATTGAGGGTCTCTATTTTTGGGATTGTGCATCAGCTTTCGCGAGAATATGTCGTAGGGTTCAAAATTCTGGCTCTGTTGTATATCAATCTTCTGCTTGACATATAAGCCAGCATCGATTAGAGGTGGATTCTCAAGCGTGAGATGACAGCGAAGTATACATTATAATGTTTGCATCTGCAATCCAAGCGATTATCACTAGTATAAATTTAAAAGAGTATCCATCATTCATCTAAGTCCTTACTCAATCTGCGGGCGTGATAAAATCGGAATTTCTACTATAACCAGGTATCGAATGATCTAATATCTAAAGATCTAGTGATTATACATACCATATCTATTTCGATGTCCTCAACACTCAGTTCCCTATCCAACGTGATTTAGTAACCCCAGCTGCCAGCCCGACAAGAAAACGATCTTGATTTCTCAATTTCTCCAAGACTTTGAATGGCTCTTGAATTTCAGGTCGACCATATACTAATAGTTATCTCGATTTGAAGATTCAGATGCCTCTTAATATTCGCATTTCTAAACTATCTAACTATATTCAAATATCCAACACTTTGGGTTTACCATTTCTTTCCAATCTGCGATTGAATTCCTGTAAACCGTCAAGATACATTATTGTGATTCTATCTTAGTATATCCATACCGTCTAATATGAATAATCTCAAATGGTTCATCAGCTGCATTCATATACTCGGATCAAATATTTACTCTTGAACTCTTTGGGATTGTTTTGATGTAGTTGTCTAAAGACTCTTGATATGTAGAGAGAACTGATATGGAGCTACTGCGGTCGAGGTAGGATTCCCAGTCTTAATCGAAAATCTCTGATTAGGTGCTGGGTACGGGGGTTTGATTTACGGGGAGAATATGGTATATACACTTAAACTATCACTAAAGAAAAGCTGAATAATAAGGTAGAACTATCAGCCAGGTACTAAGAATGCGAACCGGGACTTAAGTATTCTCAGATATCAAGATGTCCATTCTGATTATATATGGATTACTAACGTGGGAAACTCAAAGAGACTAGTGTTGCTCTAGTAAGATCTTAGATGAATGGATGAATATAGGTACTCGGAAAATTCATTGCTTTTATAACTTTTTATATTCTTTTTCTCGAGGGTTAAAGTTGTTTAGTTTTGTGGATTTGTTCTCTACTTTTTTAGATGTACTGCGTATCGTGATTACTTGGAATTTTGAGTTATCTTGAACTTCATTTCATACCTTTACTACTTGTCGTAATATCTGGCTCCTCTAGACTTAATAAAAGATTGAGCGTTTACAATCAAATTCTCAACCTTTTCTAAAATGAAGGCCTATCTAGAAAGTTAATTTATAATGAAATATTACACCTTAGTCTATATATATTTACCGTCGGTCATATAGATTAATTATCTCATTTTTCGTTTTTCTGATTTATTATATAATATAAATATTATTATTATTTATTAAATTAATTAGAAGAAGATTATATTTATTATAAAAAAAATTGAAAAGATTGAAAAGATTGAAAAGATTGAAAAGATTGAAAAGATTGAAAAGATTAAAAAGATTAAAAAGATTAAAAAGATTAAAAAGATTAAAAAGATTAAAAAGATTAAAAAGATTAAAAAGATTAAAAAGATTAAAAAGATTAAAAAGATTAAAAAGATTAAAAAGATTAAAAAGATTAAAAAGATTGAAAATAAGAATAAAAAAAATAAGAATAAAAAAAATAAGAATAAAAAAAATAAGAATAAAAAAAATAAGAATAAAAAAAATATTTAAGATATATTTATTTTTTAATTATAATTTTATTATATTAAACATTATTTTTTCTAATTAATTATATAAATCTTAATAGTATTTATATTATTAAATAAATTAAATAATTTTTTTTCCTTTAAAAAAGTCGAAAAGTCGAAAAATGAAAATGAGATAATTGATCTATATAGCCGACAGTACGACTGGATCGATAAACATAAGCTCGAGGATGCCGAGGTCCGACAAGCTGTTAGAGGAAAATTCACTCCACTAACAAATACTTATGATAGTGGAATCTTTGTCGTTTGTAGCTTGTTGATTGAAGCTTCCGGTGGAGAATCACTCGATGAGATTGATGAAGACGGCATTGCTCATTTTCGACTGGAGTTTGCGAATTTGATTACACGATCGGCACATGCTATTGTTCTTGCTGGTAAGGTTCAGGCCAAGGCCTCTAATCCTAAGCCCAAGGAGACTTTACATACTTCCACTCGAACTATAAGACAAGAAGAAGTAGAAAAGGCAATGCCTAAACCATCACCATAACTTCTACTTAATTCGATTGGGAATTTTCATTTGATTTTATTTCTTTTTAAATACAGGTTTGCTTTATTCTTGAATGAGGGGACGACGGATTGAATACTAATGGGGGGGGATCAATTACTTTTTTTTCGAGGATCGTCACATGATCATTTTTATTTCGGGTTGTTTCACCACTGCGAAGGATGAGAATTGCTTCGGCAAACTTTTTAATACATTATGATCTTTAATTATGCGGTACTGCTGGAAGTTAGTTTCCTCATGCAATCAAGTCCTTGGGGTAACTTTTGGTTTAAATCATTTGATAATATAACCCCAAGATGGGGGAACGTTTCAATTGAAGGGGAGGAAAGTGCACCTTCCTCGAAGTTGCATTTCATAAACTTCGTACCTTCCTCCCCTAAAAATTGAAGATACGATCTCTTTTCAGAAAACCCCAAGATTTTTTTAAAGGTGTCCCTCAGGTCTCATCGAATTATCGAATTACAAAAAGGTGGTTCATTATTCATTCAGAATGAAACAGTTGTCAATTACAAACTTCTTTGGCAACAATGAAATCTCCATTTCACCTCAAGATGCCTCCAGAACTACGACTACAATATCCAAACAATTTGAACCATCTCCGACCTCTGAGATAATTGAACCTTCGACGCCCCATGGCTTCAATTACTCCAAGTCTCCCACACCGTTAGAGGAATCAGTTGAATCTGCCACAATTTCTCTGGAGTCTGAAAATACCATTTCACCAGAGTCGAATACGGAAAGACCAGGAAACATTTCGGTGCTCGATTTTGATCAGAGAGATGGTAATGAAATAGAGCTTTTCCTTGCTTGTAGTCGTCAGGTATTCAACGAAAGGTTCAACATTCTCGGAGATGATTTGGATGAAATTAATTACGACTCTGAAGAAGACATGGATGACTATGGAGAAGACCTGGATGACTTCTCATTATTCGAAGAAAGAGTTGTCAATGTGTTAAAAGCAACAACACGATGTTATATGTCAGATCAGTGGCACGAGTTCATTGAAATGAGGACCTCAACCCAATGAGCTCAAATCATTTGTGATTTCACTATTCCCGCTGTCAAAAAGATGTTGAATAACACGGAAGCACCAAAGTTGCAGGACCTTGCAAATATGCCTTGGTTGGATACTAGAGAGTCTGGTTTGTGAACCTTTATACTGGCGTTTATATGATATTGAAGATTGACTAATTGATTAGGTGTGTACGGGCATTTATTTACTCCTTTACTGGACGGTCACCACAATCACTTTTACATTGGCGAGGCATCAGGATTGAAGGGACTCTCAGGACGCCAAAACGAACATAAGAAGGAGATCGGAAAAGGGCCCGAGTCGGCTGCGCTAAAGAAAATAGTTTCGATAGATATTCAAAGCCAAACGCCTCATATACATATATGGATCCCTCAAAATGCCTCGCTAAATCAATCATTTCTTCCCGAATCTCAATTCATCATCACATTTACCTCAACAATCGCAAATTCTCTGACCTTTTATTAATGAATTACTTCCCATACAGCCACCAAACAAATCCACCCAGTCCCAAAAATACAACCACAAGCTGCACAAACAAGCCACCTTCATATCTTTCTCCCTCTTCTCCATTCCCGTTCCCACTCCCGTTCCTACCACAGAATCTTCCTCCCTCCAAATCATTAGTCCGAGAATTACTATTGCGTATCCTTGCATCCCAATGCGAACGATCATAGCGTTCCACTGACGGAAGCGCAACGTGGTAAGTTGGGCGTGGAGCACGGGATGGGACATTCGTATGGTATTGTTGATGTCCTGTTGGCAAAGGTGGAGAAGGCGATGGAGAGGGCGGAAGATGAGAGGGGATAGGATATGATTGCTGGAGGAGAGATTGGCGTTCGTTTGCGAGACTAGTTGCACGGCTATAGGTGTACCATCCTGGTGACGGGGTTGTGGGAACAGTATGTGTTTGTGGAGTTATTTGGACAAGGCTGGGGAAATCTGTAGATGGGATTGGTTCGGAAAGACTTCTCTGATCTAGAGGTCGTGTTGTGCTCTCAGAGCTTTGATGCGAAGCCAATATATTCCCTCTGATTTCCTCCCATGGATCTCTGAATGTAACTCTCGGTCTCCTCTGCCCCTTTCTTCTCTTCTCAGCATTCGCATTCCCTTGTTTCCCTTTCATGGCCACCGTATCCATCCATTCTACTTTATCCTTATCCATCTCAAATCTCCCTATCAATTCCAGATAGCTCGTTTTACAAAGTCTTGTATCGAAAGCTCTGGAATCGGGTTTAAAGCTAATAGCTCGGAGCGTTGAGAAGGGGATTGGAAAAATATGCTCAGTAATAATGAATGAGGCTTTATTCATTTCTCCTGCTTCAAGATAGAGCTTTATCTCAGGATCGGTATCCAGGTCTCCTGTATTTTGAGGGGTTTGAGATATGGCGATGCGGGTTTTCTGGTTGTACTTTTGACGGGGTTTGGATGTCATCTAGCGGTGATATATTATTAGCTTACCCTCCACATCTACCTTTATTTTCTCTTCAAACAATAACTTCGAACAAATGAAAAGGAGATTCTCTACCATAGCAACAGAACAAACGTCTCCTTCATGCTCCAAAATCACAACCGGATGATTGTACCCCTCATCATCCAAGCATCTCCCATTACAACAACTTTTCCCACGGTTACAAACTAAATCTCCATCGCTTTCCAATTTGGACGGAAGCCATACAATACAACCGACACAAATGTCGTTTTTCTTCAAACTTGGACGAATACCGGCCCCAGAATGTGTTTCGCGGGGTGGACTGCGTCGGGATATGCGGGTTGCATGACGACTGCGCGTGCGAGGCATTTAATTAATTGTAGGAGATCGCAATCTTGAATTCAATTTCGAGATATGGATAAAATCAAAACGATGATAAAGATAGAAGAAATGTAACACAATATATCATCAAGAAAGAAAGCAAGTGACGCAAATCCCCATTTATCCCTCCCCGCCCCTGTACCACCTGTGCGCCCAGCTGTGCGACATCGACAAGCCGCACTGCATATTCAGCGCAGAACGTGGGGGATTCCTGGCCAATGGAAATTTGTTTGTGAGTAATGAATGGATGGGATTTGATGGTGGTGGGTTTCTGTGCCACTGTGACCTTTTTGGAGACCATGGTGTATGGCTTTTTGTTAGGCTGAATTTGGGGAGGTTTGGGGGCTAAGGGGTCGGGAGGTTTGCGAGGGGGTGAGACGTGATGGGGATGGGGCTTGGGGCTGAGAAGGCGATGAAATATTTCTCTCGCATTGAGAGGTTAATTGTTGCAATGTTTCTCTAGGGTAAGGTTGGGGATTTTCGAGGGTGAATGGATTGTTGCGACGAGATTGAATTCTTAAATACAACGGCGATTGGCGTGCTGCCCTTCAATATAGTATCCGCAATAGCCTGCAGACCACTCATTTTCTTGTTAAACTTATTAACAAAGTTATCCCGGTTGTATCTCCTAAAACATTGATATCAACTACATCACGTACATCGACCAGCGGAGCACAATCCGACTCAGACGAAATTAAGCTTGTAGGAGTTAAACGTTGATATCCAATTCCTCGCGTTCCTGCCCAGGATTCTCTTGGATCTCCAACGCCTTCACCTGAACCTAAGAGGCTCAAGAGATCTAAAGCTATTACACCAGATTTATTAACTATTACCCCTGTAGTGGTAGAATTCGTGGTTGATGAAATAATTGCTTTATTAATTATAATAAAATCTTCAATATGCAATTTTATATCGAAAAGATCATTTTTAAAGTATTAATCAAATTAATTTTATTTTTGTATTCGATGAGAGGAGTTTATTTTAAAGGGATTTATTAGTAACTTTCTTGAATTTTGAATTTGAAAAGATAATTTTAAATTTTAGTTTAAGGTGATTATTTTTATATATAATCTAATTTTAATTTCTATTTATTTGATATATTTTATATTTTATAGTATAGTAATAAAGCTTTTAATTAAAAAATAAATTAAAAGTAATAAGAGTGATGAATAGATTTCCCTTTAGATTTTCGACTAATACTTTTTACTTACTGTTTAGTTTTTATTTTCGCTTTTTATTTTTTTAATATCTTTTTAATTTCTGTATATATATCTCTCTTTTCCTTTACTTTATCTATAACTCTAATATTCAAAAAATCTAAGGTCTTTTAGAGCTCTCATCTTCTTTTTTTAAAACAAAATTAATAATAAACAGATTTCAAAAAATACTGATTTAACTTATTACTAATGAAGTACTTATTTTGTTAATAACGAATAAAATATTAAAGTTATTAAAGATTTTATAAAAGTTCTAAATGTCACGGGGCAGGCGGGCGGGATCAGGAATCTATATTCGACGATACTAATAATAGTAGATATAGAGTATAGACTAAGAGCCCGTTCGAATCGTTTTTTTAATTTATTGATAAAATAATATATTGACTAATAATTTAGCCTAAATTTTGTAGATCTATAAAATATAGAGTAATTAATATTAACAAATATTATTAAATGCTAATAAAAGTTATATTACAAATTTGATAAGGCTCGGCGAGGCTATTATATAAATTTTCAAAATTTGTAAATTTATATTTTATAGCTTTTTATAGCTCAACATTAGCGTTCGGTAAATCACTTTTTTTCAATTTTATTAATAATATAGATTATTAAACAACATTCGCGTTCGGTAAACGCTTATTTAGACCTATATTACTAACAAATATAGCTTAATATCGCCTAAAAAATCGATTCGAACGGGCCCTAAGACGTAGCTCGAAGAGCTACAATATAGAATCTTCTAACGTGAAGATATACAGAGTTTTCACTTGTAAGCTAGCCCAACAGGGCCTAGCTTATTGCTTATCGGTCAGGTGTATCTACACCGTAATATTAAATTTATATATAATTTAATTTGAAAATTAATATTTTGAAGTTCTAGATCTTAATTCAGAAAAGTCCTAAAAATCTAAAAATTTCAGAATAAGCTTAAAATAATTTAAATTATATATATAAGTTTTTATTAAATTCTATTATATATTATTAAAGATATTTATATAAATAAGGGGTTTTACTTTAAAGAAATAACTTCAATATAATAGCTACTATATTAAAGGTATTAAGCAAATATAAAAGAGACTAGCTCTTTTAGTAGTATCTATATAACTACTTTTCTATATAACTAACTCTTTAAATAGAATCTAATTAAATATTTAGGACTCATAAATAGACAGATGCTATGTCTTTTATATTCTTCTCGAATTAATAATATTAATAGGCCTAAAAAGTGATTTTTGGTGTAAAAGGGTGGCTCAAAACAGGGGTGGTCCGGAAATAGTATACTCGACTTACCAAAATAAAGAAAGCTAGCCCGAATTAATACTAATAAAAGCTTCATCCTATATAAAACTCTTCCCCTTAGAATTAATTATATTAGACTAAAATATAATAGTTCTTTTGATATCCTCACTTTCTACCCTATGCTTTTTATTTTATTCACTAAAGAGAGTAATACTTAGAATAGATTATTATAATCTTTTTAAAGAAAACATATTTTTAAATTATTAAAATAAGATTAAATAAAGATATATAGAATCAAATTATATTAATAAAAACATTGATTTGTATTAAGAAGAATATTAAATAAAATAAAATAGATTTCAAGAATAAGAAATATAATAAAGAAATTTGAGAAAGGCTTTTTAGTTGATTATTCTTATTAATAGAGAATCTCAGGGATAATTAATACAAATTGATTTGGTTTAATAATACTGAGTAATATAAAGAGAAGAAAAATGAAAGGGTTGAGAGTAATAGTGTAGATAATGGGGGTTGACGATATGAAGGGGCAAGGGAGGGGTGAAATGATACAATAGAGAAGAGAGGGTGAGGAGCAATCTGACAAACGGGTGTATCTTTGGGAGATACTAATTACACTCTAGTATATTCCCTAGTTAGTAATGTTTTGAATGAATGCCGACCTACATATAGCTAGTGTATATCACACAATAAACTATTGAAAGTTATCTATTTTAAATTCGATATTATTTTAATTGCACTCTCAGTCGTAATGCTTGCCCCCCCCCCCCTAGTTTAGCGGCCTCCACCGCTTTCAACATCTATAAGAATCGCGCTCCCCTCTCTTCGACCTTCCTCTTGAATTCTCTTCCAGCACTTCCTCGTTTGGTTATTCAGGCTCGCTGTACATTGTAAGCCCCTTCTCATATTGACCCATTTCCAATTTCCTCCCTACATCAGCCTCGCTGTAGCTGGAAAACGACGATTGTATTACCCATCTCGAACCATGAATGTCGATTTCCCATCTTGAACTCGATGCTCTTTGGCTGTTATGATGAAAATCAATCAATTTACTTACATTTGCTGATCAAGGGACGAAGAATAAGGTAGTTTGTTTTCTATTCTTACCGGTACATTGTCGCGATCACCACAACAATCACCTCAGTAACCCCAATTATAGTACTCTCTCTTTTACCCTAAGGCTTGATTGCTTTCACTACGATTTAGCCAATCGAAAAAATGCCTCATTGATAGCATGGGGGTGCTCCTGTCTCACTGCGGGTAGGGATAGCTCACGCGCCGAGGGAAGGATCATGTTAAGTTTTTGCATGGTGAAATGATGATATACGCTGTATGCCTTGGACTCAGGCTGGTTCATGATGAGAACAGCCGATCCTTACTGGAGATTGCGATTTACCGAATATCGACGACGAAACGCTTGTTCGAGGCCTGGGTCGCTCTATCGGTATCTACAAGGGGTCAGGTCGTATGACCTCGGAACAAATTCTGTTCGGGGCGGTGGCCATCTCTGAAAGATGGACCTCAAATTGAGCTGGGAAGGATCATTAGCTCAATAACCTACTTCTAACAGGATATTGTTTGTACTGGCGCCAGAGTGGAAACACGATTATTTGGAGCTGCGCAATCTCGTTTCTATAAGTGGATGGTTCTATTTGCACATTAGGCAGCTAAGAAGGTGACATTGGAAATATGCATGCTCTGCCTGTCACTGATGATCTAGGAATAACACCGAGAATGGTCAATTGTGAATATACAGAGTGGGAATGTACAAGATGGTTATATTCTACGTTGAGAATACAAGGTTAACGATGTTAGCCCGGCGACGTTAGGGACACGTCTTGCGCGAGGGGGAGGGAAGGTCGGGGGCGTGTTGGGACTGAGGCGCTCGCATGATGGGAGTGCGCGGAGGCTTGCAGAGGGCAGCTCTTCTGGCGACCGGTGTCAAGCTGCTACCGCTAATTTGACAAATATCGAATTCTTCGTTCAAGAGACGAAGTTCCCAGGTTTGATCTTATCTGTAGATGGTGTGAAGATGGACCCCGCGAAGGTTCAGGCCATTATCGAATGGGCTCAACCTACGAATGCGAAAGAGGCCCTTCAGTTTATAGGCTTCACGAACTTTTATTGTCGATTTATAAAAAAGTAGTCGAGGAGTTGTCGGCCATTGACGAGCCTTCAGACAAAGGCCAGCAAACCAGTGGGATCTACTGGGATGACAGCTGTCAAGAAGCATTCGTCGCTCTGAAAGAAGCAGTTGTTTCTGCATCAACTCTAGCACATTTTGACAGGCGTAAGAAGTCAGTTACTGAATGTGACACCTTTGATTACTTTATATATAAAAAAAGATATTATCGCAGATCGGGGATAATGGAGAACTTTACTCTGTTGCATTTTTCTCCAAGAAAATTATTTCTGTTGAATATAATTATGAGATATACGACAAAAAGTTGTTAGCAACAGTCCGTTGTTTTGAAGAGTAGCGAGAGGATATTCAAGGCACTGAGATTCCGATTGATGTGCTTACGGATCATAAAGCACTTCAACATTATATGACTACAAAGAAGTTGAATCGAAGGCAAGAAAGATGGGCTGTTCTTCTTGCTGATTGTAATTTCCAAGTTACATATCGACCGGGTAAAGAGAATGGGAAAACAGACTGTTTGAGCTGCAGATCTCAAGATTTTCCCCAAGGAGAGAATAATGAACGGGTTATATACCAACGACATCCCGAGCTTGGTCATGACAGAATACACCCTGATATTCAATGCCAGGTCTCCGTTATGGATGTAGCGGAGTCCCTACGAGACGGGCTGCAGGGTGATTTAGTGGATCATTTATTTGATACACAGCAACGAGAGGCTTTTTGTATCAAGGTGTTTGAGATGATAGAGAGCGGGGTGTGAAGTAGCTGCGATATATCTTTGACATTCTGTTGACACCTCGATGATGGATTCATGTCAAGGGACACTCATACCGTTAAGTATCCCTCTGCAACCGTAACAAGATATGTCTATGAATCTTGGAACAGGACTTCCTGTAGATTCGAGGTTTAACACTATTTTGATGGTTATCGATTGTCTTACGAAAGAGAGACACTATATTCCTTGTTTTGTAAAAGATGAAGGTACTTCAACAGAGAAGATAGCGGAATTGTTAGTCCAGTATGTGTTCCGTTTACATGGTCTGTTTGATATTATATTTTCGATTGTGGATCGCAGTTTATTATAAAGGTATAGAACCGCTTCTTATGCATTTTACAGATTAGGAATCACAAGTCTATATCTCACTATCCGGAGTCTGACGGGCAAACAGAGAATGCTAACACAGAGATGGAACGGTATCTGCGAGCTTATATCAATTATCAAAAGAACGACTATGGATCTTGATAAGCTCTTGGGCTTGCTTTTGAGTATTTTAATAATTAAACATAGTATTTGTTGGTATTATTTTTGTTGTAATAATAAAGTCTTCATAATAGGCTTAGTTAATAATATTATATTGAGTATATGTATTCTAATTTAGAAACTACAAGAATTGTTATAATATTAGCAATTCAGAAAAGTACTATGTATATATACTCCTCTTGTAAATAATCCTTAGATAATTATTTATTTTAGGGAAAAGTAATAGATTCGGTTTGTCGAGGATATATCGATATGTTGAAATCAATTCTTAAATAATGTTAGAATAATAACATTATTTTTTTTCTTGAAAAACTTACATATAGCGATTTAATTTTTCCATAACAAAACAATTGCTAGTAGCCCGAGGACCAAAAGAAGACCTTTCAATACAATATACAGGCTTTGAATATGTTTCTTGAGCTTTTGGATTTCGATATCTGAGGCCTGAGCTTGATATCCATATCTCTCCTCGCGGAGCAGCAACTGGCTCTCATTACGTTCATTTAGTTGATTCTGCAGTTCCTCCTTGCAATCATGTAGTTGATTCTGCAGTTCCTCCTTGCAACCACGTAGTTGATTCTGCAGTTCCTCGTTGTGGGCAACTTTATGAATGAGTTTTTCCTCCAGTGTAGCAACTTTTGTGTGAGTTGTAGTGAGTTCTTGACGAAGTTGAATGGTCTCTTGACGAGCTTGATCTATTTCTTGACGATACTCTGCAGTAAGTTCTCGTCGAAGTTGGATGGTTTCTTGAATGGTTTCTTGACGAGCTTGGATGGTTTCTTGATGAGCTTAATCTATTTCTTGATGATGCTCTGCAGTAAGTTCTCAACGAAGTTGAGCTATTTCTTGACGATGCTCTATAGTCATTTCTCTAATGTTAATCATATCGTTGTCGCTATCAGATTGATATTTCTGATTCGGATCAAAGATCTTTAGGATTCGATTCGAATTCGATAACTTGGAAGTATTAGTAGGTATGGTTTTATAATAAGTCAAATCAAATATAAAATAATAAGGAAGTTTTAATAGAATGAATTTGAGATTTGTTTGTTTGAATTTGTTCAACTATAGTTATCATTGTTGGTTATATAAGATATACTTAACAGTAGTAAGAATAATGAAAACTTAGTGCTCAAAAAGTATAATTTTCAAAAAAGTGGTTACCTGACAATGACAATTTTCTTTTTGATTTATAGGAACAATTTTTAACTAGTTTAAATTATTCAGGGTTATAAGTGAATTGTTTTGATAAGATGAGTTATATTAGTTTACACTAATTTCAAATTTAGATCAAGAAATCATATAATTTCTATCAAAATCAATTACTTACAATTGAATTTTTCTAAGGAACCGTATTATACTATATTACAAATCACAATAACCTTAAATGAAAATGGAAAGAGTTCAATACAATACAAATGCCTACTGTAGATATAGGGGGGCTATCTATATATAACCGCGTAAATCTATATTATGATAAGAAATTCGCTATCAACTTTTGTGGTTCCATTAGGCAGAGTAAATTCTTCCAATAAGAAAAGACAGCATACAGAGAGACTCGAACCGCTTTTGTCTTTTCATTCATGATAATCTTGGCTCCCGCTTTATCACTATCCTCTCTTCCACTACCGGCAATAATATAATCCTCTTTTTCTTCAACAATATAGGCGGTGGCGCTTCATCATCGTCGCTATCGTGAACTTCAACAGGTACGTCGTACACCTGATGCTCCTGGAAGAAATCTCGGTCGTGTTATGGATTGCAGTATATAAATATATGATCCCAGAGATATTAACAAGTTGATGCCAATCGGCGCAGTTGGAGAGATTGCCTCTGTATAAACAAGGATATTCACTTCAAAGGATCCACTTCAATACAATGGCTACTATATAAAAGGGATTAAGCGAATATAAAAGAGACTAGCTCTTTCAATAGTGCCTATATAAGGCCTACTACTTTCGTACATAGCTAGCTCTTTAGATTGAATACAAATAGACATTTAGGGGCATACTGATAGTGGGAACCACATCTTCCGCATCTCATCTCAAACCAACAGCCTCACTTGCTACCGGATATTTAAATGATCCAGAACAGTCCGCCAGAGCATTTATCGAAGCTCCAGCTTGGGCTCAGACAGATGACGCATCTGCCCCTCGAAAATTTTATCGTTCTGGAGACCTGGCACGCTATATTGGTGATGGTTCTATATGGTTCATTGGCAGAATGGACTCTCAAATTAAGCTTCGTGGACAACGCATTGAGCTCGTAGAGATCGAACTGCAGCTCATCAAAGCTCTTCCCCAGGACACCTACTCTGTGGTATAGATGGTCCATCCCGCCAATGGAACAGCACAACCACTCTTGATTGCCTTCATCAGCATTGGGCGACAATCTGAAAGACCTCAGAAGACTACCATCAACCTGTCTTCAAATAAACGCCTCAGCGCCATCGTTCCTGAAATCACTAAGAAGCTCAGCTCGAAGCTCCCTCGTTATATGATGCCCACCGCATGGCGGTTTTTGGAACAGATGCCTTTCAATGGTAATGGAAAGACTGATCGCAAACGCCTGAATGCAAGGGCATCGGAATTCTCCATGCAATTATTCTCGAAGTATGGTTCAATGCCTGTGGAATATCAGCCGCCCACAACCCCGACAGAAAAAGAAATGCAGAGAATTTGGAGTCAGGCGCTTAAGTTGGAGAGAAGTTGTATTGGAATTAATGACAAACTTTTCCGTCTTGGTGGAGACTCAATCACGGCTATGCGGTTGGTGGCTATGTTCCGCGACAATGGTTTCAAAATCTCTGTGGACGAGATTTTTAAGCACCCGACAATCTGTGAGCTTTCAGCGGTTGCAAGAAACATAGCGCCAGAGGCTGCTCTGGAGACCAGATTGCCTTTATCTCTTTATCTTTACTACCAAATCACTTTCTCGTCGACGAAATTCGACGAGAGGCAGCTGAGGAGCGTGGTGTTCTCTTGGATAGCGTCGAAAATATTTACCCTTGTACTCCTTTTCAGGAAAGCTTGATGGCACTTTCCATCAAACAGAAAGGAGCTTATATGGCTCAGCTTACTTATCGAATTCCAGAGTCAGTCGATCTTGGGCAGTTCGAGATGGCATGGTAAAATCTGCATGCGCATCACAACATTCTCCGGACCCGGATTATTCAGATATTAATTAATTCGATATAAGTTATTGTCAAAAGCAATATTTCATGGACTACCTTTACAGACGGGAAAGTTCAGCTTGCTGAGTATCTCACACAGGATACATTGGATAGGATGGAGTATAGTCAATCTCTGAGCAGATTTGTTTTCATACATAACAACACTAATTCTATATACCTAATATAGACGATATCTCATACCTTATATAACGGTATCATATTACCATTAATATTCGAGAATTTGGAGGAGTGTTATATAGGGCAAGTTCTAACGCGGACCGCACAATTCCAATGTTTCATCAAAAGTATATTAGACGTAGACCACAAGAAAGCCGAAGTCTATTGGGTATCGCAGTTACTGGATACTTCTGCAGAAGAATTCTGCAAAAGGCCAACTCCTGATTACACACCCATATCCCATCACAAGCTCAAGAAATCAATCATCTTTACAAAGGAAAACAGTCTTGGAGTCACAAAGGTGATCATAGTTCGTACAGCCTGGGCCTTAATATTGGGCCATTATTCAAATACCAGAGATATAATTTTCGGTATAACAAACAGCGGGCGAAGTGCTTCAGCTTCTGAAGTAGCGTATATAGATAGACCGACCTAGGCAACTGTACCTGTGCGGATGAAACACGAGGATCATGATTTTTTGATCGACTATCTCGGGAGAGCTCAACAGCAATCTGCCCAGATGACCACGTATGAGCATTACGGTCTTCGAAGAATTCGAGAGTGTTGTGGGGAGGCAAAAACTGCTTTGGAATTCTAAACTTTCTTGATTGTTGATGGGAAGCCAGATAGACGTTTCATGCAGAGTCGTATTGGGCTTGAGTATTGTCCTGGTGACCAGATAGACTTTTATTCTTATCCTGTAAATGTTGAAATCTTTCTGCAGGACAGTGGTGCCGATGTGGAGACCCATTTCGATGATACTATGATTGCACCCTGGCAAATCACTCGGATTGTCAGTCAGCTCGAGTTCGTCATTCAGCAATTGTGCCGAGCGAATGTAATCAATAGAATTCAGGATATCAAGTATATCAGCGCAGCGGATTTTAAAGAGCTTTACAAATGGAATTCAGGGGTCGGACCAGCTATTATGGAGACATTGCATGGCCTGGTCGATGAAGCTGCTCAGCGAAACCCTTCAGGGCAGGCTATAGCTTCTTCTGCTGGATGCAGACTAGAGGGAGCACTCTCCTGTAATGAGGCCGAGAAAGCGAGAAATTCAGAGCTTAGGATTCACAGATTTTTGCTATCGAACCCCTCCAGCTTGCGTCATCCTCTTCTCCTCTTCTCACTTTTGGTCTAATTTTATAAAGCAACTTCCTGTATGTACCATATTTTACCCCTCTATACCCCTTTCACTCTATTGGAGGTCGATATTCACCCAATATATCAAATCGTGATACCCCTCTCTGCCCCGACGTAACAAAGAGATCCTTGGAGAAGGATATCCTGGATATGTGATTATATAAACTTACAACTTTGCAATCAGCATGGATAGTAACTAGCTACAGAAAGAATAGCAACCAATTATTAAACGAGAATGCGCTCAGCAACGCCCAATCGAAAGATTTAGCCATAGATTGTGAGCAGGACATGGAAAGGAAGTGAGATCACTTCAGCGCCTTACATGAATACTTTGCTATCTCTGAATAGCATTCTCGTCAATACATAGTAGCACTGTCATTGTTATCCTTCACCGTTATAATCTTAACGATCAATGTTTTCAAAAAGATATTTACTTATTTTACCTTGCAGTAGAAGTTATTCCGCTTCATGAACAACCCCTTCCATTATATCATCGCACCTATTCGATTTCCCCCAGCAAGGCAACACCCCTTTTGTCAAAGGACATAGCATTTCTAGGTCGAGTTTGAGCGTGGTTAGAAGATTCTTATCTTTCTCAAATACTACACACGTTAAACTTTCTCCGTAACTTATACAACCCAAGTACCGATAAATTTAGCACTAGCTAAGGAATTCACTCTTGAGATTTATCTAGCACTTACTCGTCATGTACATACAGCTAGCTATGCATTTCTGCGATGTGCAACAAAACCTTATAAGCGAGAAGATAAAAGTGATCACAAGAGGAGGGCCATCTCATGGCGAACCTTTTTATAGTAGAGCCAAGTTAAGATGGCTTCGTGCTTCATTTGATACCACACGATGCACTTCTTATATTCACACAAATTTGGGGACCTCACACGAACAGTAAAGCTTATCATTCATCAACTGTATTTTAAGCAATCACAAGCTATGCTGTGCTATGCATGTATTGATTGTTCGCATCATCATCAGAAACTCGCAGCACAGGATATCCGCTTTTCTGCATGCTCAAACACATTCCCCTTGCCACATTTCGCTTTTTTTACTCTTTCAAATCCTTCTCTACTTGATCCCTACAAATGGGATGATAGAAATCCTTGTTCTTCTCAAAGGTTTCCACGGCCAACTTCCTATCAACAACGACCAATTTCCTGTAAAGTGTTCTAACGAACTTCATTCTACCGACCTTACCCAACAACTCTGCAGTAGGTTGATATACTGACTCATCCTTTGCAGCTAAGCCAACGCCGAAATAGCGGGAGCTAAGTTCGACGTTTTTGGTGTTCACAAGATCATAAGCTTTACCCATTGCTTGACTTTGAGCTGGGGTGAGAGGAGTGGTGAAGAGTTGGACTTGTTGAAGGAAGACAACTACTTGGTTTGCGGCCCAACCTTCAATGTCGGATGGGGAGGGTGTGAAATCCTAAAAGGAATTAGTTCATGTGTAGTGATGTAGTTTGTCACATTATTTACCTTTGACTCCCATTTCTTCGCTAGAGCATAGCATTTATCGACCAAGCTTGTGTCAAAATCTGGCTTTGGGGGAAGACCTGGCTTGTAGAACCAAGAATCCCAATCAACTGACCCGAGAGCTTTAGAAGCAGCTGAATCGGAAGCAAAGAAATCAAGAAGCGTGGCCTTGAAATCATAAGAGTCGAGAGACTTCATCTTCCAAGTAGTGAAATAATGTGGGATGAATTTATCCCATGATGGTTTACCTACAAGTCTCTCAAGATAGTAGAGGAAATGGAAACCCTGGTTACATTAGACTTCTAGCACTATATTCAAATCACTGGAATTGCCTACCTTCTCATATGGAACACTGCTGAAGGCATCATCTGGGTCCTTGCCCTTCAGATCAACAACCAATTTAGTAAACTCGTGATCTTCGCCGTAGAGTTTGACAGAATCCTCTGTATGTAGATATTAGCTTTCGAAATTTTGCATCCAAAAGTATGACTTACCAAGAGCTTTCCATCCAATAATGGAAGAAAAGTCTCTATATGCTTCACCATGAACGGCAGCAATGATTCTTCTTTCTAAATAGACTGTCCACCCCTCGTTCAACCAGCTATATAGATGTTAGTTGAACAATCTCCATCTGCAAGAAATCCTCCATTTTCGTAAAAATGAGAGCAAGCAAAGCGATCTGTGAAATTCTCAAAACCTACAAATGTTCCCAACTAGCATTGGAGACCAAGTTACCACTCCAACTATGAGCCAACTCATGAGCAATCACATCAACATTCTCTCTATCTCCACTAATGATAGTAGGAGTAGCAAAAGTAAATACTGGATTCTCCATGCCACCATAAGGGAAACTTGGTGGTAAGACCAAAACATTGTATTGGGTCCATTCGTAGGGGTAGACAATTTTCTCTATAGTCTCAATAAACTTCTCGGTATCTCTCTCGAGTTCCCACTTAGCACCGATGAGCTCTTCTGGACCAGTGGAAACGAGGGAACGTGGGCCGATAGATGCAGTAGCAATATCACCTGATGCGAGAGCAAAGAGATAAGATGGCATAGGGATTTCCTGGTAAAAGGAATAGAGAAGGGTTCCGGATTCGCCATTTTCGCCATGAACAAATGAAGTTGCACCACGGGGCAAGCCACTGGCAAGAACGGGAAGAGGAGAGCGAATTCGGAAATCATATGTGCTCTTTACATCAGGAGTGTCTTGACATGGGAAGATCGAGCGGTTATGGATGGCTTGGCATTGAGAGAACATGTATGGGAACTTTTTGTTCGAGGTCTGAGCGGGAGTGAGCCATTGGAGAGCTGTGCATTTATCGGTAGTTGATAGCGTAATGGCGAGTGCAATGATAGTACCCTTTGCTGCTCCGCCTGGGATCTTCACAGAAAGAGGACTGCCGAATGGTTCAATGCGCTTTTCGAGAGTCCATTCACCAGTCTTAATCCCGTCAACGGCAACATTTTGCACATCGACGAAACTAGTATCAAGGATTATCTCTTCAGATTCCTTATCCGTAATAGATTCAAGCTGTAGTGTAACTGTGCCATGAACTCGCTGTTTCGTGAAATCAATCGCTAAATCGGCGATTGTATGCTTCGTTCTCCAATTGTTGTAATTCGACAAGGTGTTTGGATCACGTGGCATGTTGATGGTAGAAACTGAGGCCATCGTACGAACTGTCACCATGGTTTGACGGGCTGATACTATTCGAGGTGCAGATGTGATGATACTGCGTCCGATAGAGAGCAAGGTATTCATATATCGGGAACCCCTATTGGATGGAATGGAGTATTTCAATTGCCGGACCAAACTTGAGCTTACTGGCGTTGGTCGGTGAAGGTCAAAGATTTCTTTCTGGGTTTGTGTTGAATGTATTTTGCTTGGAAGGTGGGAGGGGTAATCACGAATGTCGGGCCTAAGGCCTCAAACGTAAGAATGACCTCGGGATCTACACCATCACATGATATGCCGTGGCTTCCTATTATGGCTAGCACCTTCCGATAATACCGTTTGTTTTCTTCCCTGTCTCCTGGACTCCGAAAAGGCACAATCTTTTTCGTTCACATCACATTAGCCGGTACACGCAGAGTTTGACCAACCGAGAGGTGCGTAGATCTAGGAACAGATCTAGAAGGATTTGGAAACCGGCCAGAAGGATCTATCTGTCAGATTCAAATTAAAATCGAACTTTAATCTCCATTTGCCGTGTTTCATGGCTTTCAATTGTTGTAGAGAGGAGGATTTGGGGGTTTTCACGATGTTTCCACATGGTGAATGAGTACGGAGGAGGTACCAAGGTATAGTGTTGTATGTGTCATACTCCAAAACCCCGAATACGAAAGAAATTCACGAAAAGTCTCATCCAGAATAGATCGCAGAAATAGCATCGGCTATATGTACAATTATCACGTTACAAAGGAGCTTTACCAGGAAGAAACGCGGTCTGGAAGCTCTCTATTGCAGGCTGCAAGCTGCGGCTGGTCGCATCACAGCGATCTGTGGTTCATTCCAATTATCCAAATAGCCACAGGATATGGTAACTACGTACGGCAAAAAGTGCCAGAATTAGCGAGGTGCTTGAATCAAATCATCCCATCAAGCTTCCCATCCCCGGCCGGGTCGAGAACTTTGTACCTTCCTCACTCATATCCAGATCCGGGCTCCCCCGCCTAATCTCAGAGATATGACCTACAATCAAATCTATTTGAAATACTTGATAGCGATAAAACAGGCTTGGGGGAGAACAATAGTGGAAACTGATGTGTAGTTTGAGTTCTGGAATGGTGGAGGGAGCGAGCATCTTCAAAAATCCAAGGCAAGGTATAGACATGATAAGGACGAACTGGACTGAAACTTGGGATTCTCGTGGGTGGATCCTGGTGGCAGCTCAATTGCCACATGTATTGCTGGATTATAGTTTGATGTGACGATACATCAATGGACCTGGGGTATATTAGATATGTGAATAATGATATAAATGGATAGTTGCAGCTATGTTATAGGGGACCACGAGGATAATAGTTTGAAGGGGGACTTATGGAGCTGTCCCAGGGGTCTAGGAAGAATTTCCAAAGAACCCAACAAATTTTGATAATATATCCAATTATGAATTATTATCTCCGAAAATGTTGTTGACGATTTGAAGCATCGAATACGCTTGATAGCAGATACAAAACAGATTGATATGTAAGTACAAATGCAAAGAGGAGGGGGAACTTATGCGTACATCAAGTCATTCTTGGCATACGTATCAATCGCAGTCACCCACGAGTTTTCTAATCCAAAACCTCATTGCGCCTTCTCGCACAGATATCAATCGCAAAGTAATCAAAGTCTCCCAAATTATGCTTGATAACCATTCTCCACTTCCTCCAATACTGCCGTTCCCACTTTCACTCCACGGTACCTGAAGACCCACGCGAGCCACGTTCTCAAACATACATCGTAGTAAAATGGAGCTCAAAGAGTCCGTATCTGAAAATTTCATTCCTGTTCATCCT